AAAACCCTTTTAAAGACCCACTTTTACTCTCAGGCCTTTGAGTGAGACTTCCACTTTATTTTAGTTGTCTTAATTTCCCTCTCTTACCTGGTTTTGTTTTGTATTTTTGCTCTTACTGTTTTTAATCTTTGAGTTTGTCTTGTGTTGTGGTGATAATTGTGTTTTATGATCTGCTCAAATGGCCTGTACAGCGCTTTGATTTTAGCTGTGGCTGACTGAAAGCGCTTTATAAATAAAGTTGAGTTGAGTTGAGTTGAGAAGGCGCTGAGGTTCTGGCAGTCCGCTCCTCAAGTACTCCCGGCTGGACGAGGTGATTGGTGTGCTGGATGATGTCACGGGTTCAGGGAGGCGCGTCGTGGCAACCCAAAAATGCGGACAGAACCGGGGAATACAACAGGCGCTCAGCGGGCTGAGTCCGGCTGCTTTCTGTCCAGGGCCTGAGCGGCTCGGCGCTCTCCAGGGACCAGGTGGAGCTCCTGGGGAACATGGCCTGCACCCTGGAGGGACCCGTCATCGAGGGCTCCGACTCGCTGATCCTGGAGAAGCTCAAGACCTGCAGCGGCCTCTCAGAAGTCCAGGTTTCTGCAGTGGAGAAGCTGCTGCTGTCTGGAAACACGAAATACGGGTAATCTGATTATGTTCTGTTTCTGTTTCTGCGTTTAGCAGACGCTTTTCTCCAAAGCGACTTACAGAGTAGACCCAATATTCCATTTCTCATCACTGTGAGGGTTTTTTCCTGTTTATCTAATCTTACCGGCCGGCATTCGATTTAGGGGTTTGATTGACTGCTGATCCAGTGGTCACTGGTTCAAATCCCGCTCAAATCTTCTTGAACCTGGTGATTATCAAATGATTCCTCCGTTCAGCCTTTATTCTTCAACTCTTCTGCTTTCTCCATTCAGCTTTTGGCATTCTCACATTTTTTGTAGTTTGTTTTGTATTTGTTTCTTTGCACATGAGCATATATTTAATAGTTTCTACTTATGCGCCGTATTTTTTCTTATATCAAGACCAACTTTTATTTCAAATTTTTACTGTTGTCTGGGAATATGAGAGCACAACATTTTGATTCTGAATATATCTGAGTTTGTACTACAATAAATGGACAATGAGAGCTGACTTTGACTTTGACAAGAACTGTCTTATGTAGAGACTAAAATCTGTACAAATTAAAAGCTATTAAACACCCACTAGGGGCTAAAGATACACATGACAGACTGGATGTTCATGGGGTGAGAAATATAAAGTCAGAGGTAGTTGAGTTGTCCAAAAAGTATGAAAATCAAAAAATGGAATAACATTCTTAAGGGAGCTGCAGAAGATTCCTATCCAGACATTATTCAATTGGCAAGTTTTGTTTTGTTTTTTTAGTCTTATCCCTCTCGACAGCTTCGACTGAGCCGTGGGGAGAAAGTACAGCGTCAGTAATGATACATTCATGTTGTTTCACATAAAACTGAAAAGGTTCCTGCAAATCAAAAACTAATTTCACATCCGTTCGTTACAACAAACAAAGAATTTCAGCTCAGTTCTTGCAAACCGCCATTTTCTACATTAATTCAATGGGAAACGGAGCACAACGCCGTCTTTATCTTGGTCTCGGTTTAATCAGGACATGTCATCTTCCCTTTCAGGGATCCTTCCACCTGGGAGAGGAAAACTCTGGAGGAGCTGGAGAACCTTCCTCTCTACTTCACCAGAGACATCTGGGACAAAATCCGTTTTGTACGTATCACTCAGAATGAGATCCTTTCGAAATGTGATTAAAAATTAAAGTAAATATTTGTGTATTTTTTCCATCCTTTGCAGTCAGTTAAGAAAAGGTTCCTCAAGAGATTCATGCCCAAGCTGAGGAAGAAGAAGACGCAGAAGAAGAAACTGAAGGCGCTGTTTAAAACGATGAGGCCCACGAGGAGCAAGCGGGGAGCAGGTAGGTGACAGGACCCGCTGGCTTCTGGGGAATGGAGTCCACCGGCTGATCAGCGGCTGTTCTGATTGGCTCAGGCTGCACCGTGGGCAACATCACCCAGCTGACGGTGAACGACGACTCCTTCCCCTTCGGCTACGACGCCGCGCAGTTCGACCTCTGCCTGGACCTCCCCGTTCTGCGAGACAACCTCGACTCCATCTGCGAGAAGGTGGACGACGACGACCTCCAGAGAGTCGTCCTGAAGAAACTCAACCAGGTCCTTTGGGATTTTGGCGGGAAAAATCCACAAAAACTGAGAACTTCTGTTTCTGTTTCTGTTTCTGCATTTGGCAGACGCTTTAATCCAAAGCGACTTACAGAGTAGACACAATATTCCATTATTCATCACTATGAGGGTTTTTTCCTGTTTATCTAATCTTACCGGCCGGGTTCGGTCTCTGTCCGGCGTTCCATTTAGGAGATTATTCTTTATTTTTCTGTCTTTTTCCCTTCTTTTTCTCATTAGTGTTTGTGTCCTGTTTTTAGTTTGTAGGTTTTTTCCTGTTTATGTAATCATACTGGCACTCTGTTTTCTTGGTTTTGTCTCTTTGGTCGTACATGTGTCTCCCGCCTCCTCATTTATCAGAATACTGGTCTATTCCCACATGGTTTTTCCAAATCCAGACAATTCTTTGTTTATATTTATGTTTATGTTTGTGCATTTGTCAGACGCTTTTCTCCAAAGCGACTTACAGAGTAGACCCAATATTACATTTCTCATCACTATGACAATAAACTATCCAGAGGAGAAACCCTGATCAGAGTCAGTGGTGAGATAGAAATAGAGGTAGAGGGACCACAGAAGGAGCTGTGGGGGGTAGAGGTACGGGTTAGGGTTAGGATAGGAGCTGTGGAGGGGTAGAGGTACGGGTTAGGGTTAGGATAGGAGCTGTGGGGGGTAGAGGTACGGGTTAGGATAGGAGCTGTGGGGGGTAGAGGTACGGGTTAGGGTTAGGATAGGAGATGCTCTTTGAAGAGGGGGGTCTTCAGGAGTTTCTGAAGACAGACAGGGATCTGCTGTTCTTGTAGCTGGTTCCTCCATCTTGGAACGACCTACCAGTTGAAGTCCAACCCTTTCTGACCTGCGACTCCTTCCGGGTCCTTCCAGGCTTTCCCATCAGGGGTTTCTGATCAGGAAGTCCAGATGCTCGGCTCTGTGTCCCGCGTGGCGTCTCTGGACGACATCTCCAAGTGGAACGTCACTCAGATCGACACCCTGGCAGCTCTCATGAAAACCGAAGATGGGACCTGGGAGGCGGCTCAGGTAGAGGGACTCTCAGAGTCCTCCAGGCTCACAGACCAGCGGCGTTTGGCCTCATGCTGTGTTTCTCTTCCTCTTTAGAGCAAGGAAATCATCACCAAGTACCTGAACAGCTCCGGGAGCTCCCTGGGAAGCACGGAGCTGAACATCATTGACTCCAACCTTTGCTCTCTGGACACCAGCACGCTGAGGACCATCAGCTCAGATAGCATCAGGTTAGCACCACCTGAGATCTGTGGGGCTTTTATTAACTCATTGACTGCCAGCCAATTTTTAATATAAAAGTGTTTGATTGTGAGGCATTAAAAGCCACAAAATGCAGCGGCTCCGTCAGACCCACAAACGCTAAGTTGTAGCATGCTATGCTAAAGTGAGTAATTACAGCCCAATTCTAACAACGCTCCCCTCGTTCGGTGGGAGCTGAGCAGCCGTTAACTCATTGACTGGCAGCCATTTTCAGAACAGAGAGTCCCATACTGCCAGTTTTTTGAGCATTTTGACTGATTTTTCTAGAGCCACAGAATAGTTTGTGCTATGACTATGTAAACACCGAACACACCAAAAAGAAAGAGTAGACTCTCTTCTTTCATCAGGAAAAAAAATGTGTTTCTACCTTATTCCGTTCTTCCTGGACTTGCGTCTCACCGGCGACATGTTCTCTCATAGAACCGTTCCCTTTTTCTTATTTGCCTACAGTCTATGCTCATCTCCCATCAAAAGTGGCACTGCCCCCTAGAGGCTCAATTTGTTACTACATACTCTGTCTAGAAGCCCATATTTACGGACAAGCTTTAGCAGATCGTCCCCCAGCCACTCTTGTTGAAAAACATAAAAGATATCTATAGACGTCTTTGGCAGTCAACGGTTGTATTTGAATTGACGTCTATAGACGTCTTTGGCAGCCAATGAATTAACTGGTGGATGCAACACTGAGTGTCTCCTTTCATTTTTACAGAGATGCCGACCCTCTGAATGTGGAGTCGTGTTCCACTGAGCAGAAAAAAGTCCTCTATGAGATCAGCAACACCTCCTTCAGCGCACAGCGAGACAGTTCCGATGACTTCTACAACCTAATTAGACCTTATCTGGGTAAGGATCCAGGTGTCCCGGAGGTGGGTCTTGAGGGAGGACTCAGTCGCGGAGATTGCTGAAAACAGGGTTTATTGTAACAAAAAAAGCACTCCAAGGAGTGGATGCAGACAAGGTTCAAAACAAGGCTGTGACAAAAACTATGATCAAAGTAGCAAAGCAAGATTAACATGGCTGTGGCAAAAGTATCAAAACAATGTAAACAAGACTATGGCAAAACAAGGCTATTTAAACACATGAGGGAGGGGAACCCCAGGTGTACACAATAGGTAATCAAGACATGACAACACACCAGACATTCCCCTAGACGTGACACCAGGCCCCTTTTGCTTCCATTCGGAGAGCCCCTGTTTGACTCCCTGTCTCTAAATCTATAGGCGGGGCACCAAAGACGGACATAGTGGGACTGTCAACGCAGAACATCAGCATGGATGTCGACACCTTCAGGAGTTTGGAGCCTAACGTCATCAACGTAAGTTTAACTGAACTGATTTTGTTAATGATTTGTGGGGCAAGCGGTATTTTACCAATTTTTACCCCTTATTCCACAGCCAACTGTAGAGTAATAGTCCCCTGATAACATTGTTGAACCTTTAGGTCTATCAGGTGTAACCCAACCCTATAGGTAGAACTTTAAAATACCAACAGACTACAGTTTTATTGCATTGAGATGTGTACTGCTTATGAGATGTGGTTGTATCTGTATTAACAACGTCAGTCAACTTTAACTACTTGGCTTTTGGTTCAAAGTGTCCGCACCGTTTGTTGGGACGTTTCTGATGATTTGGACCAAAAAAAAAACAGGCTTTTTCTTCGTGTTTTCTCATTCTGAAGGATCTGAGTGTGACCGATGTCCAAGGTCTCGTGGGTGACCACGTTCCGGATCTGAAACTGTTTGAGAACGACACGGTGATCCAGACCTGGGTGAACCTGCAGCGTCAGTCGGACCTGGACCTGCTGGGCGTCGGCCTCATCAGCAACCGGACCGACCCGACCACCACCACCGCGCCCGGGGGCGCCCAGACCAACCCCGGGGCCGCCACAGCCCAGGGTAAAAACACTCATCCTTAGGGTTAATG